TTGATTTTTCGGGTGTATGTAAAATAGAGACGGTTTGATAGGTAATAACTCTTAATATTAAAAGATTTTTTATTTAATAATTAATATTTTATAATATAAAATATTAATTATTTTTATAAAATATTATTTGAACTATAAAATAGAAACAATCAGCTCGTAAGTGTGGCCTCAGTTTCAGTGAAGTCTCCATCCCAAGTCTTTCGACCGGTTTCCACTGTTTCCCAAATGGAGAATGCTGTTAACTCTACGAATTTGCCTGGGTTGGATCCAACCCCTTTGTTTTCTGGTGAATCCTCTGAACATGGTCTAGGTAATATCGTAGGGCTAAATTTAGGTGTTGTGCAGAATTTAGTGGGCGAGCTAGACCAAGTTGCTCATTCTAATGAAGATACTGATTCTACAAGGGGTCTAGCATCTAATTCTGCCTCTTTCAATTTCTCTTCCTCATGAAGGTATTATCTTGGAACAGTAGGGGGGTAAACAATAGTACTTTTAGAAGGGATGCGAAGGAATTACTCCCCACACATAGACCAGATATTATCTGTTTCTTAGAGACTAAAGCAGACTTTGGTTCAAATGCTTTAAGTTTCATTCGTCGTTTTGGTTATGAGTTCCAGTTCCAAGTTCCCGCTTCAGGCTTTGCAGGGGGCTTATGGCTGTGTTGGAAAACTTCAGTGCAACTTTCTGTGATTTTTTCTACAAGCCAGGCTATTCATTGCTCTGTATGTTTTCGTGGGGATAACATCTTTTTAACTTTTGGTTATGTTCGGCCTACCGAAGCATACAAGACAGAGTTTTGGAAGCATATGTTAGACTGGAAGGAGGGACATTCAGGCGCATGGGTCCTTATAGGCGATTTTAATGATGTTGCTTCTTCTGAAGAGATCTCTCCTCGAACTACAACTATCTTTAATCGAGCTCAACGATTTAGGAATCGCATGGCGAGCTGTGGTTTGATGGAGATGGAGACATTGGGCTGTAAGTTTACTTGGTGTCGAACGAGAGGGGGTAGGGTGGTTTTACGCGAGAGGTTAGACCGTGTGCTTATCAACTCTGATTGCCAACATCGGTTACAGGGAGCGAAGGCTTTTAATCTACCTAGAACTTGCAGTGATCATCATCCAATCTTACTATCTCTAGATACGGTGGCTTCACATTCTCCTATTAATAAACCAGCTCGGTTCGAGGCTGCTTGGTTGTCGAGACCTGAATTTAGCACAGTCTTTACCCAAGCGTGGTCTCAACATGCTAATCATTTGTCTGCAGCTATCAACGCTACAGGTGAGGCTTGTCTCTCATGGGGCAAATCTGTGTTCGAGAACATTTATAGGAAGAAGAGATTATTGAAGGCAAGAATTACAGGAATCCAAAACTCTCCACGCTACTCTACTTCTTCCTGGTTACAGAGGTTGGAGGTTAGTCTTCTGGGTGAATATCAACAAGTTTTGTATGAGGAGGAATTATTATGGTTTCAAAAATCTCGAGTGGACTGGATTGCCTCTGGAGATCGCAATACTTCCTTTTATCACATGTCAACTATGGTTAGGCGTAATAAAAATAAGATTGGGGCTTTGAAGATAGGAGGAGAGTGGATTATGGATTCCTTTGCACTACAAACACATGTTAAGACTTTTTTTGAGGAACTTTTTGCACGTAAGGAGACGGTTCCCTTATTGGAAGATCTCTCAGCTTATCAACCCATTATTTCTGATGCTGATCATGCTTCTCTTCTACAACTGGCAACCCTCGAGGAGGTTCAAAAAGCTCTTTTCTCGATGAAAGGCTTGAAAAGTCCCGGTCCTGATGGCATATCTGCTTTGTTTTACCAGAGGCATTGGGACACAGTTGCTGGAACCTTTTTGGAATTTGTAAATCAAGCACTTTTGACTGGAGTTTTTGAGCCCTCCTTAACTAAAGCCTATGTGGCTTTGATTCCTAAAGAAGATTCGCCAGATTCTATCCAGAAGTTTAGGCCAATTAGCCTTTTGAATGTGGCGTATAAGGTTTTATCCAAAATTATTGTGAACAGACTTCGACCACATCTTCAAGAACTCGTTGGCCCATGGCAAAGCAGTTTCGTGGCAAGTAGAAGTACTGTGGATAACATAATTCTCACCCAAGAAGCTGTTCATTCGATGAATCGCCTTAAAGGCAGGAAAGGTGCTATGATGCTTAAAATTGATTTGCACAAAGCTTTTGATAGTGTTGACTGGGGGTTCCTACAACAGGTCTTGTTGGAATTTAATATTCCTCACCAGCTTGTTAAGCTCATTATGTTTTCAGTGACTTCTGTTCAGCTTGGCATTCTTTGGAATGGGGAGCCCTTACCTTTCTTTAGGCCTCAACGAGGTCTAAGACAAGGTGATCCCCTTTCTCCATACCTATTTATTTTGGTAATGGAGAGGTTGGCCCATATGATTCAGAAGAGAGTGGCTAGCAGGACATGGCAGCCCTTTAAACTATCTAGAGGAGGCGTGTCTCTCTCACACTTATTCTTTGCCGATGACTTAATGCTTTTTGCTCAAGCTTCTACAGCACAACTGGATATCATTATGGATTGTTTGAACCAGTTTGCCAAGAGTTCAGGTTTGGTTTTAAATTTGCAAAAGTCAAAACTATTTTTCTCTCCTAACGTACACTCGGCCGTGGCCAACTCTTTAAGTGCTCGGTGTGACATTCCATTGACTTCCAACTTGGGTACTTATTTGGGTATTCCAATCACCCATACGAGACATTCTCATAAAAACTATGGATACATCTTGGAAAAGGTGCAGCGAAGGCTTTCGAACTGGAAAAGTGCCAACTTGAGCTTGGCAGGAAGGAAGATTTTAGTTCAATCTGTGACAGCCTCTATACCGACCTACACTATGCAAACTACCTTGCTCCCGAAGACCACTTGTGACTCAATCGATCGTTTGAATAGAGATTTTTTATGGGGCTCAAATTCTGAGGGCCGTAAACCACATTTAGTTAATTGGGAAGTTGTTTGTTCAGAGAAAAAGCAAGGCGGACTTGGGTTGAGATCTGCATGGGAAAATAATCAAGCTTTTGTTGCAAAGCTTGGCTGGCGTTTACTTAAGGGAGATAAGGCCTTGTGGTGTAAAGCTATCCAGACTAAGTATCTTCGGGGACTTAGTCCTTTGAATGCCAAGGCTAATCCACGATGTTCTTTCATTTGGCGTGGGATCTTACAATGCTGTCCACTTTTGCAGCAAGGAGTCCGTTGGAGAGTTGAAACTAGTGAGGGGATTAACTTTTGGCATGATAACTGGGTTGGTAATGCTCCGCTTATTAATGTGTCTGGCGAAGGACCGATTGATTCCTCTTTGTTGCTAGCAGATGTCATCAATTCTGATGGTGAATGGGATTTAGATTTTTTGCATACCTTGGTTCCAGTAGAGATAGTTGAGATTATCAGGGCAATACCTTTATCCAGGAACCTACAGCTGACAGATAGTATCTTTTGGGCAGGTTCAATGGATGGCTCTTTTACTGTCAGGTCCGCATATCAACTTATACAGGAGCAAAAGAAACTAGATAATTCTTCTCTAGACTCATGGAGTTGGGTATGGAAGCTATGTTGTGCAGAGCGAATTCGAATGTTCATATGGCTTTTGGTGAGAGGGAGGGTTCTCACTAACTCTCTACGTTTTGACCGTCATATGTCT